CTCTCTCCTTCATTCTAATTTTGTTGTTGTTCTTCTTGTTCTTTTTTTTTTAAGTCCCGGATGGGGGTTAGGGTGATATTGAGGTTGGAAGCAATGGAGAAAGTGGGGTGCTGTGTCCTTGTTCTGTGTGCTTTTGTTGTTGTTTTTGTTGTTGTTGCTGGTGTTGTTCCGTTCCTATGATGGTGTTTAATAATCGTGGTTGGCTTTATAATTAGTTTTGTGTCCTCGTATTGGCATGTTCGATATTAATATCTGTATTATCAGTGTCATTATTATTATCAGTGTTATTGCCATCATTACTGTCCAAGAAGTTATCATTACCCTAATCATCATCGTTACGTCACACCCGGCAACGAATTATCTCATCGTTAGTCTCAGGAATAAAAGTGTTTCTAGGATTATCCACATCATCATCACCACCTCTGTTATTATTTCCATCGCTGTCATCACCACCATTATTCTTTTCCCTCCTCCCCCCGCCTCCTCTTGATGTCTCCCTTAATCCTAAATCTCAGCATCCTCATTCGCAACAACAAACTATCCCCGTGTTAAATGACCGGCCTGACATCCAGAGCGTGGCGGGCTCTCTCTCCCCTCCCGCGTCTGTCTTGTGTTTCTCTCCTCGGCCCAAGAGGCGGCGTCCCCCTGCCCTCTCTTCAGCGACGCCTTATAACGACCCTTATCACGACCCCCACGTCAAGTACTAAAGGACTGTACGACTAGACATGTTGAGTAATTATTCCTCTTTCTTCTCCTTGCCACACACAGGGGTCACGACGCCCTCGACTGCGCGCCACGTGGTTGCGTTGTCCGCGGGGTGACGCACGCATTCCGCCGCTCGCTTGTTTATTTATCCTGGGTTGGGTAAGGCGGTCACATATGTGGATGGGAGGGGGGGGGGGTTGCTGTTGGGGGGGAGGGGAGGGCGGGGGTTCGTTTTTTTTAAATTTTATTCTGCTCTCTTTCTTGCACTGATTGTTCAAGCCGTTTATTTTCTCTGGGTGAACGAAAGCTTATAAGGACACTTTCTATCGCGTGTGTATGCATTCTTGTCCGCTGTTCTGAGGTTTCGGTGTTGTTGTTATTGCGTTAGTGGGTGTTTTTTTTTTATTCGGTCGGTCGTTATGTCTCGTGGAATGTTGTTGCTTGTTGAATTTATTGGTGCGTGTGTGTCCCTTATGATTAGATATCCGTGTGTGTGCGTGCGTTCATCAGGTATGATTGCAAACACTTGTCCATGCATGATCCATCGAGAGGAGGAGGAAAAAAAAAGGTGAACTCACAAGCCATCTGGACGGCGACCCTCCTGGAGGTGGCAGTGCCTAAGGAGTTATGCGCCGCGCAGTAGTAAGTGCCAGCATCTCGACCACGCACCCGGTAGAAGAAGAGGGAGCCATCTGGCAGTTGCAGCTTCCCGTCGCGACTCCGCAGCGGCGTCTCTGAGTCTGTCCTGTACCACCTGTAGGAAGGAAGGAAGGAAGGAAGGAGTGAAAGAGAGACGAAGAACAAAAAAATCGTTACGTCATTATCTTTCCCTAACTACCCCGGGGAGAAAATTACGCAACAGAATACTCTAGCAAAGTCGTTAAGAAAAATATGTGCATTCAGATTGTTTGCCGTGTTATATGCAAACACAAATACTCGGACAAATGTAATTAAAGACAGGACACAAAGATTATTACGCTTGTTATGAAAGACAGGTCCTTCATCTCTACATGGTAATTACACTTCCTCTGTAGCTGTGCGTTAGAGCAGAAGTTCCTGACTAATAATACCCAAGACTTAAACATAAACATGACATGTGTCGTATTCACGTCGAATGAAAGAGAGAGAGAGAGAGCGAGAGAGAGAGATGGAAAGAGATAGCAAGAGAGATGGAAAGAGAGAGTAGGAGAGATGGAAAGAGAGAGAGAGAGAGAGAGATGGAAAGAGAGAGAGAGAGAGAGATGGAAAGAGAGAGAGAGAGAGAGATGGAAAGAGAGAGAGAGAGAGAGATGGAAAGAGAGAGAGAGAGAGAGATGGAAAGAGAGAGAGAGAGAGAGATGGAAAGAGAGAGAGAGAGAGAGATGGAAAGAGAGAGAGAGAGAGATATGGAAAGAGAGAGAGAGAGAAACAGACAGATAAACAGACAGATAAACAGACCGACTTAGACAGACCGACACAAACAGAACTAGAGACAGAGAACCAAAAACAGAAAGAGCAAAAAGACACAAAACACGGAATTCAAATAAACAAAACAAGAAGAAAAAAAAACATAAATAATAGGACCCCCACTACGAAACAATAAAAGCTGTCAATCTTCTTGGCGTCTGAGACACGAGGCAATTGCAGGAGCTTTGCGAGGAGCCAAATATTATTCTGCTGTTCCTGTTGGCACTCCTGTGGCACTGCACGGAAGATCGCCTGTCCCTCGGGCGTGTCTGGGCGCCCTCTGCCTTTGTATGGGGGTTTGATCTTACTGTTTTTGTTGTCTTTGTTGTTGTTGTTTTTTTCTCTTGTA